GTGAGAATAGCAGCACAACTGGAAGAATGTAATCGATGTCACTGAATTGTACATGTAGAAACTTTCAAAATGGTGTAACTTTGGCTATGTGTATTTTCACCAAAAAAAAAAGGTCCTCAAGGTCGAGAAGGGAGAGTGTTGACATGTCATGGGGTTGTTAACCAATGTCAGAAAACAACGTGTACTGACTGTTTAATGAGAAACTATTTGTTCTGTAAACCTTCATCTAAAGTACAATAAAAAAATAAAAATAAAAAAACTGTTTTCTACTTTCATTACACATTTCTCATTTTGTAATTATATATTCATTTTCTTCTTGCTTACTATCTTCCTCCATTAGAATATAAGCCCTTTGAGGACAGGGACAATGTCTGTCTGGTTGACCACTGTATTTCCTGTTCCTAGAACAGTGCCTGGGACATGGTGGCATTCAATAAATGTTGTGGAACATATAAAGCACTAAGTTCAAGTCTCTTGTGCTTTCAACTGCATCATGCTGCCTTGCAATTCCACACCATGCTCAGAATGCGGCTACCCTAACTCTCCCTCTTAGAGGTGCCAGTAAATAAATACCCATTCTACCCTTTCTAATGACTTATTTAGGAGTGTGATGCTTTATGTAGCCAATTTCCTATCAATGTACACTTATTTTTGTATTGGGGACTATCCCAGATGGGTCCATTTTCTGCATCTATAGGAGGGATAAGACAGTCCTAAAGGTCTGTCAAGGAAAACTATAAACCAGTATTTGGAAAATTGTTGCCCTGGGGGCACACCAGACCACCCTCAAAACTCTTCCCTACTCCCTGAATTTGTTCCAGAACAGGGTAACCCAGACCTGTTATGTCAACAACCCTCACCTTTAGTTCCTGTCTGATGCTTCTAAGCATCGGGTAACTGCAGCAAGCACTCTCAAAACTCATGGGTTGGGCCTAGGTGATTCATCACCCTCCAACAGGGGAAGAACTCCATCATCTCATATCACTCCCTACAAAGCAAACTGCTGCCAAGACATCCTTTGCCTCATTAACTCTCCTTCAGTTTACCTTGAAATAAATTGTTCAGTATGATTTCCTCTCCCTGGGTAGTGTATACCATTAATGCACTTGTCTGCTAACTGAAAAGCTGGAGGTTCAAGTCCACCCAAAGCTTCCTCGGAAGAAAGGCCTGGAGCTCTACTTCTGAAAAATCAGTCATTGAAAACCCTATGGAGCACAGTTCTACTCCGACACACATAGGATCGCCATGAGTAAGAATTAACTTGATGGCAACCGATTTGATTTTTTTATGATTTCCTCTAGGCCGTTCCGTAATCTTAGCTGTTGCTATTAACAATCATTGGGGGCCGGCCCCAGTCCTCTAGGACTCTTTGTCTCCAGTTTGAACAAAACAATCTTTTGTGTTTCTCACTTCAAGATTAGGGAGAGAGACTATTGCTTTGTGTAAGACAACTTATACTTTCCTGAGGTTTAATGTTCCAAATTCCTAAACAAGTTTTGTGGGTTTTATCTGTTACATAACCAGTGCTATTGCCCAATCCTTTTGATTACTGTAACAAGTGTATCTAATTTTTTTGTGACCTGATAATGGAGTACCGCCTGTGCTGCAGGAGATTACCCAGGAAAATGTTTTGTTGGGGCAGGGAGTTTACATGTGCCAAGGGAAAGGGAAAATATGTGTACACTGAAGGGGTATCAGGAAGCCCAGTGACTAGCATAGAGCGGGACTGAGAACAGGATATGGAAACCTCTCCTGAAAGTATCTGAAAAGTCCACATTTATGTTCATACACCAAGAATGCAAACCACTAGTATCGATTTCATAGCCTTTGTGCAATATCTAGCCCAGTTCCTTCTCCTTTTATCATCTTCTCAATGTTATTGCTGGTGAACCTTTTTTGGTTCTGTTTTCACTGGGAAAAAACTTTGTTCTCAATGTGAATGTTTTTCTTCTTAATACTTTGCTGTATTACTCAACTTTTTTTACACTGACATTTCATTTTTATAAGAAAAATAAAGCTAAAAGAAGCAACATTTTTTAAAAACCCAGGGTTGGAAAGAGAAAGAACTGAGAATAAAGCTAGCTGCTTGTGTTTGCTACCCCCTCCTCACCTTGAGCCTTTAAGCAAACACAGTTTTTGGAACTCTCCAAGAAGAGCCTGGTTAAAATAACACAACACACCCTACCTATTTCCTTTACTCAGCACTATTTGATGTAAGTATTAAAAACAGCTTTTTTTCTTCTTCTTAAACTCAAGATAGGAAACATCAGTCTCTTAACAGCAATACATTTAATAGAATCACAAAATTTCAAATAAACAGTCATTATTCATGCTACAGCTTTTCAATCTTCCTAAGACACACACACACACAAACACAGTACACAAACTGCATGTCTTAACAAGAGGAACATGAAATCTCATTTTGATACAAAGACAGGTTAAAAAAAAAAACCAAGTCTGAATTAAACCAGCACCAGGAGAGTTCCTGAAATTCTCCACCCTACCCCACTCTGAAACTCATATAGCTGCCTTCTATCCCAGCACATAAACTCTCTGCCTCCACACTTCTTCCCTACCCAACATTTCAACAAAAAAAATTAATGTACTTAAGAGGTGTGTCATGGAATGAAAACTACTACAGCATGCTAAAAAAAGGTCAACTTATTTGTTGAATGTTGAAAGGGAGGGAATAAGATTCTATGAAATTTAAAGTGTAGTGGAAAAAAGTGTGGGAGTTTGTTTCATTCACTTTACTCTGGTTTCAGAACACAGGAATTGTGCCTAAAGGTTAGCATAAGGAACTAAAGAGATGTCAAAAAATATTCCAAACATTAATTACAACAGGAAGACTGTACTAATTAATGCTTATGTAAAACTTATAAAAACATGGAAAATATTTACACTACAAAGTTAAATGAAAAAGCAGAATACAAAACTGTATATACAGTATAATTTCAACTATGTAAAAACCAACCAACCACAATATGCCCTAAAAAAGGCTGAAAGGAAATAGTTCAAAATGTTAATAGTGGTTGTATTTAAGTTGTAGGTCTACAGTGATAATTTTTCTTTCAGTTTTCTGTCTTTTCCAAATTTTTTCTTAACTATTAGTTACAAAATATGAAGTTTGATGGAAATATTTGAGTTACAGAATTTAAGTCCAGCCTATGAGAAAGGATTTGTCCATTTATAAAACTATGAAACATTCCAGGCTACTCCATAAGTCCACTGTGTGTTAGGAGGAATAACCTGCCAGAGATTGGTGTGCTTCGGCCTTTCCTCCAGCTAGGTGAAAAGCGTCACCAGATCTTGCCTGATAAAAAATTCTGGAATCAAATGGAAATATCGACTTACAAAAAGGAACAGAAATACCTACACTTGGCAAAAGCTTATTTATAGAAGACTAGCCCCTTAACACTGGAATTAAACATGACGACTGCTATTTTTCCTATTTTCTGTGCAGATGTTAAATTACAAAAAACCTATTATCACAGTAACTGTGGAATGCCAATCATGGACTAGAAACAGAAATAACACAGCACTGCAACAATAGTGGACAGAGAAAAGCGCAAAACTTTAAAAATGATAAAAAGTGCTTTCTATAAAAATGATTCCCTTTAAAACATTTGTTTACTCTACATACTTTAAGGCCAAAAGAAAATGCAAAACCTCCAACACCTTCTACTAAAGCAGCATCCATCAGTCAACAATGACTGAACGCTCATAATGTGCTAGGCACTGGGGTCTCAAAGAGGAGAAAGACTTGTCCCTGCCTCAAGGATATGTCAGTATCCCCAAAGGGGGGAGTGGGGGGGGGCAGACACATAACCAACCATAATACAGCAATTAAAAGTAGCAGACGCCACTGCTTTCTTACAATTAAAGGATATGCTGCAATTCTCACTGAATTACTTAAACAAAAATCCTTACACAGAAACTTTCCTGACTTACTTGGAGGCAAAAATGCAACTACTTTTTCCTGACAGATACTTCTAGAAAGAACAGACATTACATTGAATTTTGTGATACCTGCCCATAAACCCCACAATGCCTAGTGAAGTCAGTTAACTTTCATTTAAGCCAATGGAGCACACTGTACTCCAAAAATGAGACATCTTGAAATTGAGTATAAGTGCCCAGTCCTATATCTGGATCAAGACTAGTCAGTACCATCAAAAGCAGAGACTCAGGAGTGCAAATTTCAATGAAAATCCACAGTCTCCTGTTCCATCCGTTGATTTTCAATATGCTCCTGTGTCAGCCGCTCCAGGTCTTTCCTCACATTTGGGTGGTCTTCTAGATCTTCATAGAGTGACCTGACGATGTCCAACCTCCTGTAATTCTCAGGTTTGACTAGGCTTCGGACAACCTGGAGGCACCGCTCTTTCAGGGTGTACACTGTAAGGACAGAAAACCAGACTCTCAGCAACAGATTCAGGCCTTGGGACAAGGGATGAGCAAGAGGCTTTGCCAACCATGGCAGTTATATTTATTATGGATGGTTTTCACTTGGGCAAAAAAAGTGGGAGCATGTCTTGTAGCAATGTCTAACACTGATTGCCCCCAATAGATATTTCATGGTATTCAAACCCTTGTGCAGTAACTTCTCTTTGAAGTTGTGCTAGGCCTGTGATTTGCTTTAACTGAATGTGAATGAAGTGATACTGTGCCAATTTTGGGCCTAAGCCTTAAGAAGACCTAGAAGCTTCCACTTTTATGCTCTTGGGAGTCCTAAGCTACCCTGCTAGACACACTACACCAAGGGAAAAAGGTCCTGAGACCCCACAGAAAAGCCCAGCCCCTAGGCCCCAGCCCCCCTCCCAACAGAAGGCAGCCACACCAATGACCACCAATAAGCAGAAAAACCACCTAGTTGAGCTCAGCCCAGACTGAAGAATTATGAATAAAATGGTTGTTGTTAAGTTTTGTGGTGGTTGTAACACAATAATATATAACCAAAACAGTGTGTAATTGAATTTTGGGGTAACTCAAATCCTACGTTAAGGGCACTGGGGAACTTACTACTCCTTAGGGGTATCCTATAAGGCACAACTTAGCAAATTTAAGTTATCAACGTGTATTTTTGTACACCCACTTCCTTAAAACAGGATCTATACATACATATTAGCTTGAACCCTATGAAGCTATAGGCGTTTCTTTTTTTAACTCACAAGAACATCAATTTTTTAGGGTTCACCCTAACAAAATTATTTGAGTTTTACATAAATAGTAAAATATGATGTTCATCTTCAATTCAGTGATTTTTTTTTTTAACCCTGATTGGCACTGTGAGGTTAAACAACATTAGAAGTCATATAAATATGCCATGATATCTTATTCTCTGTATCTTGCTCTCCTCCTGGGACTGTTGGAACACAACTTTGTTCTAGGGCCATGGAAACATTCTACAATCAGATATTTTAATTTAGCCCACCTCTGAAGCACCCAAAGAGTTCTTGAGACATTACATCTTTGTTCAACATAGAACATACAAATATTACTTTGCATTTTATATATGGAGGAAATAGAACACAGAAAGGATGGATACTTGTCTAGCACCAGGCAAAAATCAGTAAGGATTTGGCTTCTTCAAGTGGCCTATCCTCTAATTATTACAACAAACAACCTTATTTTTTTTAAAAGATTGCACATCAGTACCTGGCAGCGTGATGTTGGCAAAGATAGGCTGTCCATCAACATTGAGAGACGGCACAAATAATTCAGTTTGGTTAACCAGAAGCCCATCGTATGTCCCTGCATCTCTGAAGAGCCAAAGGTGACCTGTTAAGACAAGCAAAGGCTGTCAAGTAGCCACACTGGTCTGAATCAGAGCATCTACTTCCACCATTTCCCTTGACCTACATGAAACGCTTCCTACTCCCTCTGCTTAAATTTATACAAACCACTTCCAATAACATCTCAGTCAAGCTTCACAGTAGATCCACTTACAGATGAGGAAATAGGTCTGAAAAAGCAAACTGAAAAAGCTCAAGGTAACAGAGACAGTAAGCAGAAGAGTATATACTTGAGGCTCCGAATCCCCCACCCTTTCTGCTACCTTGGTAGAAAAGCAAAGTCTACCTAAAGAACGACTGCAAATCACACCAAACAGTGCAAGCTACAAGACAGAAGGCCAATGACTCCTCAAATCTGTGCTTCTCAAAAAAGAGGTGAACAAGGTGAAGGTGATTAATGTCACCGAACTGTACACGTAAAAAAGGTTGAAATGCCAAACGTTTTCTTATACGTATTTTTACTACACTAAAAACGAAATACTTAAAAATGAGGAGTGCAAAAACACCATGTTAGGAGAAAGAAGCTAGACAGAAAAGGGTACATTTTGTAAAAACAGGCAAAACTAATCTATGGTGTGAAAAATCAGAACGGTTGCCTCTGGTAGGGAGGCAATTGAGTGGAAAGAGACAGTAGGGAATTTTCTGAGGTGATGGAAATGTTCTATCGCTTGATCTAGGTGTTGCTTACATTTGTCAAAGCTCATCAAACCCTAAGATCTGTGCATTTTACTATATGTAAATTATAACTGAGTTTATAAAACAAATGCATCATTTGCAAAAAAGGAGGGGAGGGGAGGCAAACCCCCAGGCCTAAGGAAGCAGAGGTTGTCTCAGAATAAACGTAGTCCATGTTTCCTGGAGTATTAACGTACTTGAAGATTTGGTGGGAAAACTTAAGAAATATTTTATACTCAATCAGTCACAGATAAAGTCTGGAAAATATAAAATTCACACAATTTCCTAGATAAAATAGGAGAGTACAGAAATGTTGATCCCTGGTAGAATTGTGTTCTTCATCAAGTATTAGGGGGAGTTTGGTGTAAAAAGTTTGAGAGGCATTAACTTATTAAGTAAACCACCATGAAGGAAAAAGAGATCCATTAGTATCCTCACAAGATGATCGTGAAAGTTAAGCAAGAGCAGCACTACTTCCAGGGAGTCCCTGGGTGGCACAAACGGGTAAGTGCTGGACTACTAACTGAAAGGTTGGCAGTTCAAACCCACCCAACGGCACCACGGAAGATAGGCCTGGAGATCTGCTTCCGTAAAGATTATAGCCAAGAAACCCCTATGGAGCAGTCCTAATCTGTAACACGAGGCTGCCATGAGTTGGGATTGACTATGCCAACGGGTTTGGTAACGTCTCTTTGCCACTACTGCCCCAACCTTAGGTAGACCTAGTTATTCTTCACCGGGATTATTACAACTTCCTGTTTCCTCACGAGGTCTCTTCCCTCCTCAAAACACTGCAATCTGGGTGAGCTTTTCAGTATCTAAATCTGACAACGTCACTTCTCTGCTTCAAAACTTTAACGGCTCTCATTTCCCTAGGGGGAATCACCTTGGGGAGCTTCCTCTTCCGCCTTCCATACCTTCTTCCCCCCTCCAAGGCTCCAGGTCTTTGCCCAGGCTGCTCCCTCTGCCTAGAACTCTCAACTCCTATCATGGGCTGGCTAGCTCCTGTTCATCCAGCAGGTCTCAGCTCCTTCTCGTCTTCTCTGGGAAGCTCTCCTTAACTGAAACTGTACAGCCCGCCCCCACGAAGCCAGGCGCCTGCTCCAAACTCTTTAAGAGCTGGCAGTGCTCCGTTCCTATTACAGCAATTATGACACTGACTTGTTCTTGTCTGTTTATGCGTGAGTCTGTCTCCCCGACTGGACACCATTCTCCACGAAGGCAGGGACCTTACGCGAACCTGGCACACTGGCGACAACACAAAATACGAGATCCTCCCACTCACGGACTGAACAAATGGGCATTAGGGATGAAGCACTTCTTTGAAGGATAAATACACGTGAAAGAGGAAAACTGCCATCTTCAAATGTAAATTATTCAGTCTTGTAAAGAAAAATGCTCTGCTACTTATTAGCAGCAACAACTTGGATCTGTCACAACCTCTTGGGCCTCAGTTCCTCATCCATAAAATGGGAATAAGAATAATAGCATCTGCCTCCCAGAAATAGTGGGATTCACTGAGAGCGTGCTATTGTTATTGTTATCAGGCTTAACCGCTTGGCACCGCGGGACCAGGCGAGCGCTCGCCGCGCGCCGCAACAAAGGGGCTGGCTGGCCCGCGTACCTCGGTAGCTGTGGATGCGGCGCCCCTTGCCGGGCGGCAGCGTCGGGTAGGGCTGCGGCTCGCCGTCGAAGTTGAGCCACACGGGCAGCACGACGCGCGGGCTGCGGTTGCAGAAGATGACCTGGGACGGCTCGCGCGAGTTCACCGAGCGTAGCACGGGCCGCGGCCGCCCCGCCTCCATCATCTGTTCGGTGCCCGACTCTTCCGGGCCGGACTCTTCCGGGCCGGACTCCTCGGCGCCCGACTCTTCCGGATCGGACTCTTCAGGGCCGTACTCTTCTGCGCCCGACTCGTCGGCGCCCGCTTCGGCCTCTTCCACGTTCCCCGCCTTCCGGGGCATTATCTCAAGGACTCTACACAACCAGGACCGGGTCGCCTCGGGATTCGCGGGCCCGGCGTACGACGAGACGTGCGTGCGCGTGCTCGCGCGCTCTCGACCGGGGATGGAACGCAGACTCAAGGAAGAGATGGCCGGCTTGAGACTCTGCGCGTGCGCAGTTGGATCCTCCAGCCCCAGGGGTAGAGCCCTGATTGAGGAGGTGATGGGCTATCCTGTCACGGTGTTTCCTGTATAAGTTTTTGACACAGGTTTTCTTAGCTTCATTCACTCTCAAAAGACCTTCACGGTTTTGCAATATTCTTCCTGCCGTCTGCGCTATTATTTATTTAATAATTTTCTCATTAATCAAGTTTGCTCCATTTTGGGTCACAAAATTAAAAGTGTACAGAAGAATATAATAAAAATTTCCCTCCCACCCCAGTCCCCCAGCCACCCAGTAAGAGACCCTAAAGTAATAAATATTCCTAGCTTTTTGTGTTTCCTTTCAAAGGTATTCTATGCATATACAAGCAATTAAACAAGTTTAAGAAGAAATTTTATACACGTATCATAAATGCGGGGCCCTGGTGGCGCAGTGGTTAAGCATAAAGGTGGGCAGCTCGAATCCACCAGTTGCTCCTTGGAAACCCTATGGGGTAGTTCTACTTTGCCCTATAGAGTCGCTATGAGTCGAAATTGACTCGAGGGCAATGGGTTTTAGTGTTTTGGTGGCGCTGTGGTCAAGAGTTCAGGCTGCTAATCAAAAGGTCAGCAGTTGTAATCCACCAGGCCCTCCTCGGAAACCCTATGGGGCAGTTCTACTCTGTCCTATATGGTCACTATGAGTCGGAATCCACTCGACTGCAAATGGAAATCTAGTAAATGGAAATTTAGTATCATGTGCCATAGATTACATTGAACTAAATTCGAAGAAAACAAGAGTTACTACATTTTATCTACTCCCAAAGCTTCTGACTGAGCCTGCTCTCTCGTGGTTTAAAAGGGTTAGCCAACTCTTAGATGTTAAAGAACTGCTGATACTAAACTGAGACTTTCTCCTGGACATAATCAGAAGAATTAAAGGAAACTACAAAGGCAATAACTTTTCACACTGCATTCTGTGTGCCCACTGAAATTCAGTCCCATAACATGGTGAAAAACACTGCACTGCCCCAGCCATCACTGAGTGCCTGTTAAGTGCCAGCCAGACATGAGGCTAAGCACTTGGAATCACACCCACCTGAGGTCACATCCCAGCTCTAGTTTCAGGTATGTGATGTTGAGCAAAACTCTTTAAATTCTCTGAGGCTTTAATTCCTCATCCTTGAAATGAACATTTTTAAAAGTACCTATGTTATAAAACTGTCGATTAAAAGTGAGATATAAAAGTGCTCAGTGCCTAGCATAGTAAGCACGCAGCAAATAGCAGCAGTTATTATTACAAAGCTAAATACACTATCCCTGCCCTCAAAATGCTCACAAGCCACTTCTGGGCAAGCATACAAGACAACATGTCGTTATAGCCCAGTGTGATATTGGTTGCAAGAGGGCAGGTGGAAGGTGACTAGCTGAACCAGAAAAATCAAGTAAAGATTCCCAAACCCAAAAACCCCACTGCCGTCGTGTCATTCCAACTCATAGCGACCCCGTAGGGCAGAGTAGAATTGCCCTGTGGGGTTTCTAAGGCTGTAATCTTTATGGAAGCAGACTGCCACATCTTTCTCGCTCAGAGGGGCTGATGGGTTTGAACTGCCAACCACTTGGTTAGCAGCCAAGCGCTTTAACCACTGCACCACCAGGGCTCTTTCGAAGACTCACAGGAGAGGTTATATTGGAGAGGGACTTTGAAGAAAAACTAATAGTTTTCCCTCCTCATCTCTCACCACAAACATACGCAGACTGGATATAAGATCTCATGCCTATCAGGAGACAAGGCAGATCTCACAGTAGGCAATCCAGCTTACTTTGCATTTATTTTGTACCCACTGCCTCTGAGCCTTGGACTTCCTACAGGCCAACCACTTGCTAAAAACCCACCTGATGACCGAGGCCAAAGACCGCTATATGCGCTCTAGCCCCAACATTTAAAGGAAATGGCAGGGGAGAAAAGAGGGAATAGGTTTTTTTTCATTTTGTTTTTGGCTACCCGCCTAGGCAGCTGTTCTCAAATCTAAAATGCAGAAGAGGTTAGACTTATGATTATGACCCATCTGAGCAAACTCCCTTCAGTTTCTTCTATTGCCTGACAAAAAAGACTGATGCAAACTTTCCTCCACAATCCATATTAGAAATGGTGACCCCATTAAAATGAGGGAGGTCTTACTTAGGATATAGAAATTAAAAAAAATAAAAAAGGTCATCAAATTGTACATGTACTATGACTTGACATAAAATATATGCAGGATTGTTGTCCCCCTGCCCCCATTTTCTGGAATGTAGCTATATTGTGTTTATAATGAAAACAACTAATTAAATTCTTAACGGTCATAAATAACTCGTAAAGACGGAAAAGTAGCCAGATTTGCTGGTGGTGCAGTGGTTAAGTGTTGGGCTGCTAAAAGGTCAGCAGTTCAAATTCACCAGCCACTCCTTGGAAACCCTATGGGGCAGTTCTACTCTGTCCTATAGGGTCACTATCAGTTGGAATCAACCCGATAGCAATTTTTTTTTAAATACTATGTGTAGAGCACTATGGTAAAAATTTGAGAAATGAGACATTTATTTCTGGGGGATTAGAACTACAAAGTATAAACATTCATTTCTTTGTTGAGTCCACAAATATTTATTGAGAGTTGGGTACTGTTGTAAGTGTTGAGAATGTTGCAGAGAACAATCCTGGTCCCTGCCTTCACCGCTTTAATAAGAGGTTCAAACAATAATCAAACAATCATACAAATAGAAAGTCACAATTATGACTAGTGCAACAAAGGGGACACACTGTGCTATGGAAGGCTGGAGATCTGGTGGTCAAGGAAGATGGTACACAATTCTGTGTTCAGTGATGTGGAATAGACTCTAAGTGGAGAAGAAGCTCAGAAAAAGCAGGGTTTTGAGGATTTCATATTAGTCAAAGACGAACTTCAAGGAGAAAGAAAAAAATATCTACCACATCCACATCATTAAAGCTATGTCATTACCTCCATTTCACACCTAAAGGAACTAAGAGTGTGAAGATGGTGGTCAGAGGAAAGTGCTGGACCAGAGTGACTTATCTAGTGCATTATGGGAAGATGACCATGTGAGTGAACCTAAGGAGTCGGACATATCTACAAAAGCACTCACATTCTGAACCTGGGCTCTCCTTGACAGTGCATTATAGGAAGAAATGGAGTGTCTTGGCCTCTAGCGTGATTAAGTGACTGGCAGTGACGCTGTACCTCCAGCTATGTTGATTCTTAACAATATGGAAACATTTGTGAAGGAAAACCCCAGGAAAAGACAAGACTTCCTGTTAATCAAATTACAATGGCCCGTGAGTACAAACATGATCTCATTTGTGCTCCCTGGCTAGTGAAGTGAAAAACATAAGTTTAATGTTATAGAAGGCCTGCATCCCTAAAATGAGACCAATGGTTTAGATAAATCCAGGCCTCCTTTATGATTGATATTGCATCACTGGAAATAATGTTTGCAAAGAGCATTTAAGAGCAAGGAAAATATGTTTAGGATACACTAAGTAAAAGTAACACCACAGGCTATACTGTTCTGAAAGTACATTTTCCATTACACAAAAATAAATGAACATGTAGAGAGAGCTAGATGAAAATGCACGCAAAAGTTTTAAGATAACTTTTCTCCCCCTTTCCCTTTGTGTGTGTGTGTGTGTGTATGTGGTAGAATATACATAACATTTGCCATTTCAACCAATTTGATGTGTATAATTTAGTGACATTGTATTCACCATGTTGTGCAACCATCACCACTACCCACTTCCAAATTTTTTCATCACCCTTAACAAAACCTCAGTACCCCTTAAGCAAAAACTCCCCACGTCCCCACTCGCCCCCAGTAACCACTAATAAACTTTGGTCTGTATGCATTTCCCTTTTACTTTTGTCATTTTAAATTTTCTTTTATGAGGATATACTTCGTCTTGTTTATATTTTGACCAGTCCCTGAGTGGTGCAAATGGTTAAGTGCTCGACTATCAGCTGAAAGGTTGGCGGTTCCAACCCTCCCAGAGGTGCCTTGGAAGACAGGCCTGGTGATCTGCTTCCAAAAGGTCATAGCCTTGAAAACCCTATGGAGCAGGTCTACTCTGCACACATGGGGTTGCCATGAGTTGGAATCAACTCAATGGCAACTAACAACAACATATTATGACCTAGGTAAGTGTATGTTTAATTTCATGAGAAGTTGCCAAACTGTTTTTCCAGAGTGGCTGTATCATTTTGCATCCCCACTAGCAATGAGCGTTCCAGTTGCCTGGCATCCTTGCCTACACTTGGTTATTATCCTTTTTTTTTTTTTTTTAAATTTTAGTCATTCTAATAGATGTATAGTGGTATCTTATTGAGGTCTTAATTTGCATTTCCCCAATGACTAATGGGAGCCCTGGTGGCACAGTGGTTAAAAGTTTGGCTGCTAACCAAGAGGCCAGCAGTTTGAATCCACCAGCCACTCCTTGGAAACCCTATGGGGCAGTTCTACTCTGTCCTATAGGGTTGCTATGAGTTGGAATTGACTCAATGGCAGCAGGTTTTAATGACTAATGATGTTGAGTATCTTTTCATGAGCTCGTTTGCTATCCTTTTATCTTCTTTTAAAGTGTTCAAATCTTTTGTCCATTTCTTAAATTGGGTTGTTTTCTTCTTATTGAGTTTTGACAATTCTTTATGTATTTATCCAGGCCAATTTTTAATGCTTTGCAAACACTTGTGTGTACCCATAATCTATATGTAGTGATGTATTACTTTTATAGTAGAAAAAAACAAATAAAAAATTCAAAAAACAAAAATCTTGATTTCAGCATATAATAAAATTTGGCCTATGACATATTCCCTATTTTAAGTTGATACTGCATTGTTCCTGTGTGGTATGTTGTGTTTTCCTGCAAAGGTCATTTTGGTGTCCTTTGAGTTGCTTGTGAACATACAGTGAATAATGATTAGACTATAAGCTCCATGAGTAGAAATT